ATCAGGTTCCCTGGTCTCGGGTGCCCAGTCGCCAGTCCATGTTGACGTGGCTGTCAAGGTGGGAGTAAGCAGTAAGGCTACTGTCTTTGCAAATGACCTCCGATTAGGTAGGCCTTCCCTGATTAGTTCCAAAATAAGTTTTACGTTTGTTTTTAGTCCAAATTTTAAGTATTTTACATTTTTAAGCTGGTTTAAATCTCTTGTAAAGTGCCCAGAGCTTTTAGGAATGGGCAGTGTGTATGTGTTTGTGTATAAAATCTAAATAATAAATAAGAGTAACTCTTATTTCAGCTGGGCCCATGGATAGCTCCAAAAGTCATAGCTGCCAAGCACCTTTGCTTCAAAAGGTGATTGGCCGCACTCTTTGGGAATAAGGCTATCAGCGGCTCTTAGTCATGATGGCGGAGGACTGCCTGTAGCATAAAAGGCAGAGGGCCTTGGACTGACATCTTGTGGGGCAGGGGGAAATACTGCAGCCCCCCACCCTGTTGATGGGCTTCTCATTGGGGCATCTACATGGCCATTGTGCAGACTGGTTGCCGGCCTAGAGTTCCTCTTGTTAGGGTCCAGCACAGCTTCTCCCAAGTTCTTGGCATCGACACACACAAACCATGTCCCTCCAAGCAGTGCCTGGTTCATTTGCCTGGTGCCCACCACCCATTGCATTTCTAAGACATCTGCAGCAGCTGGTCTGACCTTTTTTCACCTTCTTAGTTCTCCATAGCTAAGACGGAACACCACATGTGCAACGCTAGCTTGCAGAGGTTGGTGGGAGTCCACGGGGTGACATTTCCCCTGCAGGCTGCTGAAGTGCTCACACCTGGTGTAGGGGATCCATTAGGCACTCGACCTGCTGTTATAGTGTCCAAAAGCAAAACAGGAGATAGTCCAGCCAGCCTAGACAGTGTGTGAGCTGTCCTAGGATGCACAAATGGGACAGACATGCATGGAAGCCAAGCTCTGTGCAGGACTTTAGTGCTGCTTTGTGAAAATTCATCCATGCAGTAGCGATTCTTTTCACCATTTTACATCAGCCGTGGAAGGACCATTTATCCTTAAAAAAAAGTTATTGCTCTAATTCCCCCTGCCCGTCGGGCTCCTCTGAGACAATTGCCCTCTGGTGTTGTTTAATAAAGCCATTTCCTCCCTTTACTCTGTTGCCTTCCCAGCGCAGAGACGATAGTAAAACTATTATTCCCTGCCCTGGAGGCTATGACTCTGCTTAATGAACAGCACATTATTAAACATTTATTCCACTTGTTTGGAGCATAAACTTCTGCTCCACTGCTGCTTTGCTTCCCCCTCTCTTTGGAATAGTGAATGGGAAGGCAGGGGGTGGGGAGGTATACATTTCTAATGCACGTTCCCAATATGAAGTTCTACACATTGAAGGGGGAAACACAGGAGATTGTTCTACCTTAAAAGTCACCTAGCAATAACTGGGCGGGTGGATAGATAATAGATGGTAGATAAGATAGAGAGGGAGAGAGGAGAGATGATGGATGATGGATGGATGGATGGTAGACAGACAGACAGACAGACAGACTTGGATGGATGGATGGATATATTTGAATATCTGGATGGATAGATAGATAATAGATGGTAGATAAGATAGAGAGAGGGAGAGGAGAGGAGAGATGATGGATGGATGGATGGATGGATGGATGGATGGATGGATGGTAGACAGACAGACAGACAGACAGACAGACTTGGATGGATGGATGGATGGATGGATGGATATATTTGAATATCTGCATGGATAGATAGATAATAGATGGTAGATAAGATAGAGAGAGAGGAGAGATGATAGATGGATAGATAGATTTGGATGGATGGATGGATGGATGGATGGATATATTTGAATATCTGGATGGATAGATAGATAATAGATGGTAGATAAGAGAGAGAGAGAGAGAGAGAGAAAGAGGAGATATGATGGATGGATGATAGATAGATTTAGATGGATGGATGGATGGAAAGATATATTTGAATGGATGGACGGACTTAGATGGAGAGATGATGATGACGATGATGGTGGATGATAGAGAAAGATGTGCCAAAAGAGGAGCCTTAAGGACTGAGTTGGACTGCTGGCCAAAGCCCAAAGATGCAAGGTGCTGCCACAACCCCAGCAGCCTTGCAGGATGCCATGCCCTTGGCAACACTCCAGCAATACTGGCCATCCCCACCCACCTCATTCCCACGAATGGCGTTGGAGGTGGCAGAGCACACAGCCGAGCAGGAATGTGCGCTCAGGCGTCCCTGGCCCAGGCCACCCTTGTGCATCTGAACCACCTTGTACGGGGAGCCAAGTGTAGCCTTCTAAGCAATGAATGGCAGCCGCCTTCAGCCGCCTCAGTAAATCGAAGTTTGTTGCTTGCCTGCCAAACTGGGAGGAGGAAGGTAATCAAACACCCGAAAGCTCCACATGGGTGCAATGCTACACGTGACTGGTAGGGAAATGCTGGGAGTTGTGGGGCCTCATCCTGCCCAAATAAGTGCAGGTTTGCAGCCTGGACGTGGCTGTGGGGCTTCATTCGGACTCTGTGTGTTTGGGTTAGGCAAAGGGTGACAAGCTGTGCAGGGCTGCTGGCACTGGATGGCATAATCGGCGCAAGAAGGTGGCGAGCGCAGCAGAACGGCGAGATGCAACTGGTCAAATGTTGCGTGCTGGGATGCGCCACCGGGCCTGTCCTTTCCTGCAACAGCTCCTGTTGCTGGTGCTGTTAGATGTTCCTGTTACGCCCTGTGCAATGACCCCGTCATGCTTCCCCTTTGCCCGATCAATTGTCCTGCGCCAGTGACCACAACTGCTCGCTCAGTGGTGACTTAATGCCTCTGGGGCAACCCAAAGCAACAGAAACATCCATTTGCTCTAGAATTTACTCCAGAAAGCGTTCTGTCTTCCTTGCACAAGCAGTGAGGCCTGTTCGAAGCATCTTGCAGTTGTGGATGGGATACAGTGGGGTGGGAAAAAAATCTGCAGGTACATAATGCTCTCTTGGCTTCTGCACAAGCGCATACCGCACTGGGGCCCCCTTGACTTTTCTGACTCTTTATGTCAGATTTGTGAGATGTGGTCCTTCACTCCATCATCAGCACGACTTTGAGCAGTTTGCACAAACTGCAGAGTTAAAACCTGGATTTTGTGCAAATTTCCACAAATTGTTGTTTGAACTTTTGCAAACTGCAGCCTCTTTTAAAACTAGAAGTCCACATGTTGGTGTAATTCATGTCAAACCACGTCAGCATGAGAGCAGGGTTAGCAGGATGGGCTCCACAGGGCTGAGCTGAGAAAATTCATTGATTTTTCATCCCTGTTGAATTCCTCGCACATTCCTGTTTCGGGGTTCAGATGGCTCCCCAAGCATTCCTAAAACTTTCTTTGGATGTATCTCGTCCCTAGTCAGCGTGCATAACAATGGATGAGCATGAACACTAAGGGATCATGCAATCCCAAATAGAAACAGATGAATTAATATATTTCCAGTACATGTCTTTTTCACAAATGTTTATTCCTAAATCTGTTTTGTCCTGTTTCCAAATCAATGCACTTACAAAAATAGCAAAAAAAAAAAAAAAAAAAAAACCTTTTGAAGGCAGTTTTTGGCATCATTTTATCCTAAACATCCATTAATTAACGTATTTCACTCTAGCATACCCACTTTTGCATGCATTTTAAGCTATGGCATAATTTTGTTTAGGTGTGCTTTTTGATCTGAGAACTGTATTGCAAAGTTGGGAGAGGTGCAAAGCCCATAGAATAATTGTCTTCTAATCTGTCTATCAGTCCAGCAACTAAAATCAGGTCAGTTGTACTAAAAATGCAGACAGCACAAAATTCTCAAGCATCCCTTCTCATGGCATCCCATCATATGCTGCAGCAAAGTTGGTAGGCTTTGAAACTCTGCTGGACATGGCAGATTGCCAGACAATTATATTTCTCCAATAAACCTTTGACCTGAAGAACAAATATTGTCTTGGCCTTTAAATCAGTGGAAGAGAGGTGAGTGCTGAGTAAATGAACACAGAATGCAGCAGATAAATTTGCTGGGGACGTGGATTCTCTTTATATATGTGTAAAGTACCTCCACCTCCGTGTGCCCTTCCCTAGTGAGATCAAAGGGGAAAGGGCTAGGAGGAAGACCTTCTCCGCAGTTGCTTCTAGTTGCACCTAGAATATGGAATCCACTCCCCAGGGATATCCACCTGGTACCTACTCTTCTTTCTTTTAGGCTCCAGGTGAAAACTTTTTTATTTAAACAATTTTTGGTTGATTTGATTTGATTAGATTCTAATATATTTTGCTATAGATTATTATCTTAATTAATTCTGGTTAATTGGTTGGTTGTTTTTACTGTTGTGTGTGAGTATATTTTATCTGAGGTGCTCTATTCTTTTATTGTTTTATCTTGTATCTGATTCATACTTGTTTTATTGTAATGGATGTATGCTTTTATGCTCTACTAATGTAAGCCACCCAGAGAAACTTCAGGTTATGGGGCAGGAAAAAAATAGAAATAAATAAATAAATGGGAGATCCCATATGAACATTAAAATAGCATTGTGCATTGGTATCAATAATAGCTGGAGATCCAGACTTTGGTGCCTTGGTTGATAGCAGTAGCACTGCAAGGGACATCCCTGTTCTCTTGTTGCAAGGGCTCGGATTTCCATTTTGGATGCTGCACGGGCTCCTGAGGAGCTGCGGAACCTGCGAGCTGCCACCCTGAACGCAGCCTGCCGACTTTGTAACACTGCTCATGGGACGCTCAGCATGCCTCCTGTCTTTGCAGACTCGGGAAGGCAGCACCACCACGGCTCCAGGGGTCCCTTACCCATGGATGATGAGCTAGGCTCACCTTGGTGAGAATCCCAAGCTTGCGGCCTTGGCTTGACAGATGTCTGATGGTGCTCTTGTCTTTGCTTCATGCTCTTCAACCAGCGGCAATCCGGCTTCTTGTAATGCTCTTGCCATTTCCCTGCTTGTCCATTTTCAGAGGCAACTGTTTTGAGCTACGATGGAAGCATGTTTATGAAAATACAGCTCCCTGTGGTGATGCACACAGAAGCGGAAGATGTGTCCTTGCGGTTCAGATCACAGCGAGCCTACGGCATTCTGATGGCCACCACTTCGAGGGAATCAGCAGACACACTGCGCTTGGAGCTGGATGCAGGACGAGTTAAGCTAACAGTCAACCTAGGTAACATTCTTCCCCAACTCCCACCCTAAAATTAACATCTCCAACATCCTTCTTCATCTTTGCCTGCAGCCATCTATTCAACAGCCTGTTGCCACTGAAAATAAACTCTCTTGTATATATGTGCCTTGAACACATATATATGTACGTGCAATATGTCTCTGTTTCCAAAGTCCATTGTTTGTATATTTTTAATTTTATGTCTTTCCCTTGCACACTCCACCATAACCGATGGGAATTCATTTTGGACTTCAGTCTGTTCTAAAAGAGAAGACCAGTGAGTCCTGTCATTTGTAGGGGGACGGGCTTTTAAACATTTGCACCACACCAATTGGCCTTTAGCCGCAGGCCTTTCCATGCTGCGGTGTTAGGGAAATGAGTCCTGATCCAGTTGGCTGCTCTGGTGCAAAGAAGGACCAGGCACATCGGGTATCTCCATTCCCACTCCGCGGGGGGAAAGGTCTGCTGATGTGTCGGCATGGCGTTGTCAGATCTACCTGCCGATGCTCAGTGGGCGTTTCAGGTGCCCCCGTGTGGTGCTGGACTTGGCTCTCCCACGCAATTCTGCACTGGGAGGCAGGGGAATCGTATCACCACCAAGCAGCCCAATCCACTGAGCAGCGCAAATTCTGAGGCATGATACGTGTGCGTTTATTCGCAGGGATGGAGCCCATGTGAGATGGTGGGCCCAGACTTGCACTGGCCAGAGGAGTACGTTGCTCGTGTGAATGCTGGCTTTGCTCAAGGCTGACTCCAAGCATCAAGTAGCATGAATGATCAGCATGCAGAGCACATGTGCAAACACAGGAAATGGGTATCTTTTCAAAAATGGAACAATAAAATGCCACCATGTTGGTCTTCTCTGTATAGCAGCCTGACACTATATGCAGTCCTATCCAACCCATCCCCCACTCCCGTTCCACCTTCTTCCTCTTCTTCCCCCTTTTCTTTTAAACCACAAACGTCATTGTGATATATTTTTGTATGTCACAAATAACACAACCCTTCAATGCCCAAAGTCTGCGGCCCTCGGCAAACAGCCATGCGAACACAAACCACGTAAGCTCTTCTGCAGAAATAAAATCGTGCTTTCTTAGGGTTTTTGTAGCATTTAGAAATGATCAATCGCTGCTTTATTCATTGTGGAACCTAATGCAGGTTTACCGGAATGACATCCTTTTGTGAGATTATTTTCAAGACCTTTTGCACAGCACGCTTAAAAACTAGCTCTAAGGTGATTTCACTTTTAAATTGCGAAAAGGAGTAGGGCCGACTGAAATATTCAAAGCCCATTTTTAAGGAAAGCTAGGTCATTGAATTTGGATGAAGTTAATTAGATTTTGCGGTAGGGAATTTATACATCTCAAAGAGGGAAAGGCTTCTTTCGCTTCATACAGAGCCCTCTAGTGAAAATTTGGAGTTAGTGCACGGTGAAGCATCGCTTCAATTCACAAAATGGCAGCAGAAGAATGGTCCTTTGGAGAAAGCTTTCTGTAGGAAGAGGCATGTAGTGGTGTTCCCTGGCTGTTTGCAACCACTTTTCTGATGCGGTTGACGACACATGACAAACTCAGCTACATGGAAACAAAATCTAGGGGTTTTTCTTTAAATATATATACCTACATATCCTCAAAGACCTTACAGAGGAGTAAGAGAATGCACTGGTCATTTGAGCATCATCTTTTAATTTGTCAATCTAAAATCTAGCACAAGGAACTCTTTGTTTTACAATATGGTACGAATGAAACCAAAGCATCAACTATTTTATTTAGAAGCCCCAATTACCACAAGGGTTACACCTAAAAGTTAGCACCTCTTTCCAGAGGGAAGGAGGGGAGAAGTCAGCTTGGTTCATTATCCTAAAATGAACGGAAGGCTTTGTGATGCAATGACAGGAGCACTTGCTCACTGTTATCTAAATGTTGACTAATTAAAAACAGCTAAGGGTATTCCAGAGGATGAGAGACGATCAGAAGTATCTTGAACATTATGCTTAAACCATTAAGCCTGACAAATTGGATCCTCCTTTGAGGTATTCACTGTGATCCCACATGTGTGATTTTGTGTTTGGCTTGCACCGTTCCCCATTGTGATGGAGCACTTTTTTGTTATAACAATGGAGAAGATCGATCTGTTCTTTCATACATGGGGGAGAAGGTTGCAGCCAGCCTAAATCCAGCATCTGGGACAGCCGCCACAAGCACTTTCCCCCACTTGGATTTGTCACCATGTAGCTTTGTTTGAGATTGGCCATATTTTCTTTTACCCTATATTATCACTTCTATTTCTAAAGTCTTCTCACCATGTATCTGCGTTCTACGGCAATACGGAAAGAATCTGAACAGAGTGGCCATGTTTGCATGTGTCTGTCCCCGGAAGGGTGGAATGTGATTTTATTGGATGTCTGCAGCGATTACTTTGAAGGATAAATTTTCATTTCTCATCTATTCTTCCCCATCTAGACTGTATCAGGATTAACTGTAATTCCAGTAAGTGCCTATTCAAAATTTTTAAACTTATTGTTCCTACATTATGCAATATTCACCCTCTTTAAATTAAAATGCGGTGTGTACCATTTTTGCATAGTTAAATGGCTTGCATTTGATAAGTTGTAGCAAATGACACAGGTGTGAAAAGGAATCATCTCACAATGCCCTGCATGGCTTAGACTTGTCTGGATTCCACCCTCAAAATGGAATGTGGATTCGGGGGGTTTCAAGGGGAGTTTAAAGAATTTTAATAAGGCTGGAGAAATTTCAGAGTGCCTTCAGATGTCACCCAAAGGGCTGTAAATTAAGGCATATCTTACGATTTCTCCTCAGAATTTTGAAGGACACCAAATGTGCTTCAATAAGATCAATAAAACTTCAGGCAGGAAGGACCCTGTTTGCATATCTCTAGTATTTCTTTATCATTTGACCAGCAACCTGCCTTTTAACTAATACATTTAGATCACTTTACATCCTACAGAAACCTCACTATGCATGACCTTTGAAGTTCTGAAGGTGACTTACAATTTAAATAAACAAAACAAGTCACTTATCCTTGCAGAAATAATACATATTTGCTACATTGTTTCCCATCCCCTATTTTAAAAATATCTGCTTCCACCTAAGAGACCCAGGACTGGTCAAAAGGCCGATCTGCTGAAGCTAAGCAAATTTACACATTATAGGGCCTTGATAGGAGATTGTTTTGGACTGTTATGTACTCAGACTTGGCCTTTATTGGGGTAATTGCAAAGCATATCCTTGTTGCGGTACTCAATGAAATGCATTCACAAACACTTAACAAAAGGTCAACAAAGTTTTGAATCTGCAACAATGTTTGGAAATATGCATTTGCACACTTTAGTCCACGGGGTAAAGGTGCATACTTTTGAAAAGTAAATGCAAATGTGTGCGCATTTCCCATGGAAGTGGGAACAGGATGAAACAGGACAAAATGTAAACAGGAGCAAGCTGAAACAAGCTTCAAAGTGATTTTCAGAGAATTTAGGTGAGCAAAACAAGTGCTGGTTCTCCCAACCCACACAGGTACTAGGTAAAGCCATTATTATCAGCAGAATAAATAAATATTCATATAAACAACAGTGCCTCTGACCTCACTGTTTAACATTTGTCCTCATCAGTGGAGAATTGTCTTAGATTAACATTTGCCCTCATCAGCTAATATGGGCTTTCCTCATTCAGCAGCTAAAGCTATTTTAAATCTTATTTCAATTGCCCAAAATCTGTTTATACAATCTTAAATTAATTAGAACAAAATCAACAAGTATGGAAATCTTACGTGCAAATTGAAGGAAAAGTTTTGTGGGGGAATCATCCTTCCTGACAGATCGTGCCAGCAGCTTGAATGAAAGGGAACACGCTTGTTCCCCCTTTAATGTGACTTTTCATATGGTTCTTCTTTCTTTATTTCTTTCTTATTGATTCTCATGGGAAGGGAATGGACTATGTCTGCTTTCAGGTTGGGTTATTTCTTCCCCCATGTGTCGGAGGGCACAGGAAGGCTTTGGATACAGCAGGTCAGTGGCCTGTCCCAGCACCCCCTCCAAAAACCCACCTCCCTTTGTCCTCTCCAGCACCAACACTGCAATGCTGAAGAAGCACAATTAGCAGGCCTGGTCTTCAGAGGTGAACCTCTATTTTCCCCTTGTAGGAGGAGATCAAAATTAATCCTATGACCATAAGCTTTATTGGGTTAATATATCCATTCTAGATGAGTTCTATCACATTAAATTCAAATTACTGTCCTGCTTCTTCACGACTTCTGTTAATTTAATGAGGATGCTATGTGGGATCCATGCACACATTTGGCTGATCCATGGACATCACAGATTATCTGTGCAACCAAGAGGAAAAAGTCAATAGCACCGATCTTCACATCAGCAAACTATCAGGTAAACCTTGAGCAGCTGTGGAGAAAGTTGCTTTGTGGATTTGCAGAAACTATCGAACTACTATCATGCGAAACGTAGTCATGGGTTCTTGTCACAGGCAACAGTCATGAAAGGGAAAAAAGGAACTCCAGATACATGGGGCAAGTCAAAAGGTTTGCCCTCAAAAAGCATTAGGTGACAGGGACTTGCAATGTTTCTTTAAAACAAGGAAAAGTTCTCCAGGTCCTTTTAAGGGCCAAGTCATGCACCACTGAAAAGGTATATTTGTGATCCTAGGAGCCAAGGAGTTGTCTCAGAACTCCTAATATAGAGTGAAAACATCTGGATAGCCCTTTCGAAACTCCACCCCTCTTCCTCAGTATGTGTTCACAGTTGCATGACTTCCTTGGGGATGTAGACAGTGGTGGACCCAGTGAAGTCCATGTACAGAGCCTGCCTGGTTCGATTTGTGCCGTGAGAAACTTCACGCACACCATGGGGAACCCATAAAATGAAGATGATTCGTAAAGAATAGAGCAATCCCTAAATACATCAACTTCTGTTCAGGCGTTCTGAGTCCTGCAAAGGTTGTCATCATAAATTTATATCCATATAATTCCTTCTTTTTTTGTAGCTCACCCAAACAAAGAGTCTACTCCAAGATCACTCCCAATAGCTTTTGCTAAATGCCATGCTGATTAGGAGTAAAAATGGGGGTTTAGTCCATGCTTTTATAGCCTGCAAGGTTACATTTGTGTGATGGTTTCTTTTGCACACTTATCCTATAAGGTCTCTTAGACTGAAATGTTTTTATTATGTGTCTTTCATTATGCTTACTGGGTGAACTGGTGATAATTTTTTAACCTTTTTGATATCATTTGGATTAAGATGCTATGTTCTGAAAGAGGAGTGTGGACTGTGATTTTATTTTGAGTCTGTGGATCTCCCAAACTTTCTATAGTAAGTACAATAGATTCCAGTTTTCCTTTTTGCGGGGTGAGGGGAGGGGAGGGGAGGGGAGGGGACCAAATGTCACGGATCATATTGGACAAGAATACTTGTCAGCGTTCAGCCCGATGTCAGAGGCTGTGGCCAAGTCAAAGCTAAACACTTCTAACTCCCATCATGTTTAGCTGGACAGACTGAAGTGTGTGTTCAGCTCTCCATTTGAAGACCAAGGGACATGAAAGTCGTTAACTTCAGCCAGAATTTTGCTTGGATTTTCATGCTACAAGCAAATTGCTATTCAGTTCCCATTCATTTTTTGGTTTGGTGGGATGGGGGTAGTTTGTTTGTTACTGCCAAGGACATTGTTTTCAAAGCCATTTGAGTTTTTTGCTCCTGGAACGCTTGTAATGTGGCCTACCTATTCACACATACACACACACTCACACATGTGTGTAAACTTACCTTCCAGGTGTCTTCTTGTGATGAACAAACTGTGAATTATGGGTCTTTCTAGATGTGATACCATGAAACTGAAAGTAAAAGAAGGAAAAATACCCAATGGGAGTAGATAACCATGATGGCAAATCCCAATATTTTTGATAAGTGCTCTCAATCTCATGTGTTCTTGTAGTTTGAATTTAAATGCCCCACACAAATTATATGTGAAAGAAGCATGTTTAAAATTTTACAAAGAATAAATGTAAACGGTGGAACTTGAAATGGTAGATCAGCAAGAAGATGGAAAAAATCATTTTCTATCAAGATGGTTTCCAGTCTTAAAAACTGTCTGAGAAATGGCTGTTTGGTAAGGGAGAGGAAGCACTTTTTGGTACACCTGGAAAGGACTTGCCCTTCAAATGGGCCTCCAGACAGAAGAATAAGCCCAGGTAGACAGAAAACGAACATTCATTGCAAACTCAGTAAGAACCCTTGATTATTTCTGCACAATCCATTTGATCTCTGCAGGTAGATGCTACAGGAGGTAGCTTAGATTCCGTAAGGAATACACCCTCATTCCTTCCTATGAGCAAACAGGTGCTGGAAAGAAACCAGTGAGAAACATAATGTCTACCTTCTTGTGTAAGATCTGAAACAAACATGCTTGGCCGTGTTAGAGTGAGCTCTTGTTCGATGGTCTAACACACCTGGCAGCCGATACCTGTGGACAATTAGAAAGCCAGTGGGCAGGGCACTGGTTGGTTGGTTGCTACTTCCGGCATTCGAACTGCACACGGAAACAGACCAACCCATATGTAAGTATGTTTAGAGAAGTGGGCATTATCCTGCAACCACCAAGTGGGAACCAGAAGTGTGTGTGTGCAGACCTTTGTGCTCAGTGGGTAGAATGGCGCTGTGCTGAATTTTTCAAATAGCTTTGGCCATTTGTTGGTGGAGGGAAAGAAGAGAAATTGTGGGAAGGGGTGAGGATTTGGGGGAAATTTCTCAGAATGTAGGGCTACAGTGTTTACCTTACTGTAATAAGGAGGTTGCTAAGGAAGGCATGTTCTTTGTTTTCCTATTTTTCACCCACTGTATCCTTGCCACCTTTCCGGTTTCTTTGGCTTCCTGAAAGCCATCCTGGAAAACCTAACCTAGAAGGCAATGGCTGTGCTGCTACCTGGTGAGTGCCGGAAAGCTGAGCAGGGGCCTCCTTCTCCTCCAAAGGACTTTTAAGAACCACAAAACCAAGCAAAGCCTCTCTCAGCTTTAGGCCCTCCGCAGACAGCGGTATCAGAAAGCCCCAAGGGAGGGCATTCCAAGGATTTCTCTGAAATTCGCAGTGTCCCGAGGAATGAGGCAGAAAATGTATTGCCTCTTTTGCAGGGGAGCAAAGAGGCTGCAAAGGCCAGGCAGGGTTCCCAGTACAGACTAGTGCAGAAATCTGTCTGTCGGCCAGGAGTGCGGAGGCATTTTGGGCTGGTTCGTACGTGCTCGTTCCTGTTCCCATCGAGGTGTGTGTAAGGAATCTGCTGGGAGGTGAGGATCTATCAGCTTCCCTGGGCTGGGCTCCAGGCTCCAGGCAAGTGGGGACACTTGCCCTGAGTTCCTGGCCAGTGCTCCCAGCACTCTTGGGGTGCCCACCAGCAACCGAGTGCCATGCAGTGTGCGGGCAGTGTTACTGGCAGCTCTGATCAGGGAAGAAGGCTGGTCTGGTCGCCA